TGATTTAATTGTGATTAATTGCTTTTATTATTTAAATAATTTATTTTATTTTATTTAATTGAGTGTTTATATTAATTATTTTATTTTAATTTGATTATATTTCGTGATTATATTTGTTGAATTGATATGGTGTTTTGTTTTATAAAATGTTATGATTGAATTGTTTATTTGATTTGTGTGTATTTAAGTTTGTGTGAATTGTTTGTTAATTATTTGTAATTATTAACTTTAATTTAATTATTTTAATTGTTAACTTTAATTAGATTGGGCTCAAGAGGAGTGGGACCAATGGATGTTGTCTCAGGCTTGAAGGAAGTCTTATTGGGTTAATTAATAAAGGCCCTTGGTTATGTGATTATTTTAATAATCATTTTTGTATAATTACAAATATATATTTAATTATATATTTAATAAGTGTTATGAAATGATATATATATATATATATATATATATATATATATATATATATATATATATATATATATATATATATATAAATAGATATATATGATTTAACTAATTAATGATTAATTATGAAAGGTTTTATATGGTACTTAATGTGGTTATATATACACATAGGATTAATTTATTAAAAAGGTTTTTGACGTTAGAAAAATAAGAGAGGTAGAGAGAGAGAAGAAGAGGAGGCCGGATCAGAGAAAGATGATGCTGAATTGAAAAAGATAATTAAAGCTTGAAGCGTCGGTTTTATTTCGAAACCTTCAGGCGAGTTCTTCTCAATGTTTCCTCTTAGAACTCATAAGGATTTCACCTTGAGTATCAATGTTTAGATTAATTTGTTTGATTAAATCATGATTATATTGGATAAATTAAAAACATGAATTACTATATTTTATTTTTTGTAACGTTGGATTTTAAATTGTGAGATGTATGTGTTGTTTTTATTTTTAAATCAATTGTTATGCTTGATCTGTGACTCAAGAGGGTTATTTAGGGTTTAAAAAATTTCTGGGAATTTTTTGTAATTTTCTATAATTTTTTGGTTTTTTTTTTATTATATATTTTTAGGAATTTATTATATTTTATTTTCCTATAATTGTTAGAAAATTATATATATATATATATACTGTTTATATATGTATACAGTATACAGACACAGTCTGTGAATCGGTGCTTCAAAGGGGGGTTTCGATTCGGTATGCCGCGGCTTACTTCTCTACCTCGTGCACGTGGATCATGGCCATTGGATTGTAATGATGAAGTGCAGATAATCCAGTGAAATGCGGCACATGAAATGGTGGTACACATGCTGATTTGGACCATTAGATTATTTAATTTTAAGTAGATTAATCTGATGCATTGCGGCTCATGATAAGATGTTACACACGCTAATCTAGGCCATTGGATTAATTTATTATAAGTAGAATGATTCGGTGCATTGTACATGCACCGAATCATGATAAGATGTTACACATGATAAGATGTTACACACGCTAATCTAGGCCATTGGATTAATTTATTACAAGTAGAATGATTCGGTGCATTGTGGCGTAGAAAAAAGGATACGCATGTGCATCCAGACCGTAGATGTGGTTTAGTTAACATAGAAATAATCTGGTGTGAATGAGCTCACAGCAGCTGAAAGACTTCAACCAATCAGAACGCGCCAATACACATGGAGACTTGGATCCGGTGCGTACAAGTGTGTGGAAAACGCGTGGGCGCGCGTGCTGATCCATGTTTGCCTGTTTTGTGACATGAAATTGAACGGACATAACTCAATCATTTTAAATCGAAATTGGGTCATTCTTGAGCTCAAATTCAAGGATTTTTCGTCCTCTTTCCAATGGTACCAATTTCATTTTTAGATCCCCATCCTATTAGGAGATATTTATGTTTTAGTAAGACAGTGTCGAAAAATTATTTACCGAGATGGAGTATCTATCGGAAACTATTTCTGACGATATTTAGTAGTATTGAAATTGCGTAAATATAAATAAATTAATAATTAGTTATGGAAAGAGGATATATATATATATATATATATATATATATATATATATATATATATATATATAGAATTGTTGATATATATGTATATGTGATTTTAAATAATTAAGGCTTATTAAGGAAGGATTATACCCATATATTATAATATATATGTGTTTATATATGTATGTTAATTAAGATTATTGGTGTTATTATTAATTGATATATCTGGATGGATTGATTATTAAATTAGTGATATGCTTATAATCTGCATAGGATGTCTATGTATGAATTAGCAATCGTTAAGTCTAAAATTGGTACATAGATGAATTGTAGACATGAGTGAGTTGCCAAAGGCTTAAAAAATATTGCCTTATTTGTATTTATAAATTATATACATAGGAGGCATGGTTGATTTGCCAATGTATAAATAAATATACTTGTGGAGGCATGATTAAATTGCCAATGTATAAATAAAAATACTTAAGGAGGCATGGTTAAGTTACGAATATATAAATAAATATATTTATAATGGCATGGTTGATTTACCAAAGCATAATTAAATTGCTATATGTTAGATGATTAAAATTTCATCTATAGTTATTGGATTAAAATAATATTGGAGAAGTCGTGGATGGATTGCCAAAGCATAAATCTTTGCTTTATGATTTAAATAAATAAAATCATTCATTAGTGGTTATAGGGTTTTGGATAAAAGGAATTATTCTTTAGATTATGGTTTATTATTTAAATAATTAAATAATTATTTAAAATGGAATTATGGTTAAAAGTTTTCTCTTTAAAAGATAAGGAGATTGTGGATTGATTTAGGTACATGTTTTAATCTTGGTTTAATAGTTTTGAAAATTAATAAACTTATTAATGGATGTGAAGATTATATTGTGTATAATTATTTATACATATGTTTATCTTTATTAAACTTAAAACTTTATTAGGTTTGATTTTGATTAGAGATGATATGCTTATTGGTTTTCAGAGGCCTGGTAGATAGAGTTTGCTCGTAGGGTTTAACCCACGATTTATTTTTCAGATTATTAGAAGTTCAAGTCTCAAGGTTGAGGATCCGCAGCTGGAGGACTTATCCATTCTTTCTATTTTAATTCAAAGTAGGATATTATTTCTTCAGTAATTATTAATGGATTTATGGATAGTGGATTTTAGTTAAGGGGTCCTTGAGTTACGGGATTCCCTAGTTGTAACCATTGGCGAGTTATTAATGGAAATTTTTATTTATTAGTTTTTCTTCAGCGTATTATTTATTCTTTTATTTCATTTTGTACTCTATGCTTGTTTGGAATAATTTAATTGTTTTGATATCCATTGATTTTGTGCGCGGATTTGATCAACCCTTATTCCGAAATTAAGGGGTATCACAGTTGGTATCAGATCACTCCAGGTTCAAGTGTCCCTAGAGTGTCTTTCGTTGTGTGATTTTCGCGTTGTATACTCTTTAACTCAGAGCTTAAATTTTGGATTCATTGTATTCTATATTTGGTCAGTTAGTGCGTCCTAATAGTAAATCGTTGAGTCTTATCAGAAAATGATTGGACACCGATTTGGGAGGTATTTGAGGTGGCATAGGTGCCAGGATCTTATGCTAAATCAGTATGTAGGAAGATAATATTTATTGTGGAAACTGATTGGATGGCATAGACTTCGAATGTCTATAATATATGTTCACACAGAGAACACAGGTGTCAGATAGAGTAGATAACTGAATTATAAGAAATTATTACTTCTACACTCAGAGCAAAGAGTCCTGATCGTTGCCACTGTCGTCGCCCGTCGAAAATTATTAGTAAACCCATTGAGAAAAGGTTTCTAGTATATGATTGGTTAGAGATAGTCATCGCCACTGAATCGCGATCGGTGCTTATAACAGTCAACTTCCCCATTGATTCATGCTAGCCAGTTTCGTCTGTGTGCAGATGCTTTTCCATTGGTTTGTGTTGGTCGAAAACTTTTGTTATTATTATTATTATTTTTTTTGGTGTTCTACAATAGCCATTACAGTGGCCTCGTCACCGATAGAGGACCTTGTAGTGCTGTCTTGCCCCATCCTTTCTTAGGCGCGTTGAAGATATCGTCATTGTCGCCGATCACAAGGGTCGTTGTTGGAGAAAGCTTGGTAGGTTTTAGCCACGTCGTCTCGTTACCCTCATCCAACTACAGTCGCCATCACATAAGTTCATTCTGTGAAGAAAGGTGGAGGAGAAAAAGGGCGTTTGGTTACCAGTCTTTCCTTATCCCAAATCAGTTTTAGATTGAACCAGTTCAAGGTTTGGTATGTGCATTTTTGGAAGACTAAAAAGGTAAAATGGGTATTACAGTATTAATTTATGTCATATTTTCGATTGAGGGTTGTTTTTCGCATAATGTGAAAAGAATAGGGGTGTTTTTTGCACACTTTTTCAAATAGAGGTAAAAGTGATACACGAAGTAGATATTTTCCTTCCATTCATAGAACTCTCATTCTATAAGAAAATATAATATCTCTTTCTATTTTTTTTTTCTCTCTAAAATTTCTCTGTGTCGTTAATGGTACATCTCTCTAAAATAGAGCACCTGAAATCAACAAGCCCCAAGAAATTGCATAGTATTCCCGCTCCAAATAATCAGCAATCCAATTCCAATCTCTTCAAAAATATCAAGAAAAAAATTAAGAACAAGTTATAAATTTTTAGTATAAATAGATAGAAATCATAAAAAAAGGGGATATATGAAAAATAGAGAAAAATTAGATAAAAAAAAAATTACTTCTTGTATTTAGAGGAGGCCATGTCAAAGCAATATTAGGAAGTTTAGATCAATTCTATGAGTATTTTCATTTGTGTGGACTTGTTTATTTCTTATTACAATTTTTTACACTTGCATATTCCTTCTTCAAATATTAACTTTGTGCACAAACATAATATGTCATTCGGTTACTAGTTAAGCAATGTTGTAAATAATTGGATTTATTTATGGCTATGGAATAAAAGATAACGTTGGTGGATGCTTGAATAAAATTGGGAGAGATATATCAAAGAGAGACAATATGTATGTGTGTGTGTGTGTATATATATATATATCATATTATGCAGAGTATTGTTATGTTAGAAGGAAAACTATTAAATCATATATGAATTTAAAGATAATTTTGACATTTTACCCTTTTTTTTTTTTTTTTTTTAATGATAAAGTATGATTAATTATGATTTGTCGGTAGGAATTTTTTTGAACAATAGGGGAGTAAATTGAGGATTTTTTTTTTTTTTTTTTTTTTTTTGTTGCACGAGTTCCTAAATTCAATTTACCGATTAAAATTTTTCTAATTGAACCAAATTTTTATATTTTGATTCTTGCTCGAGCAGAATGGATCCAGAAACGAATATATAGAATTCACACCTATCTCAATAATTAAAAAAAAAAAAACACTAAATGATCTTGTATAAAAAACTAAATTGACTAAAGAGATGCGGGTACTGCCAATAATATTTCTATTCTTTTGTTTATATTTTTTCAATTGTAATTTTAGCTAATACTTCATGTAACAAAAATTAATTGCTTATAGAATGATTAATGATAGAGCACTTAAACAAACACAAAAAAAAAAAAAAAAAAAAAAAAAAGGATGATAAGAGTTAACCAGCAGAACCATTTTGGAAGTCCTTATTTCAAAAATTCCCCCTACAATTTATTTCATAGCAAGTTCCTCGAAAGCCCCGATTTCAAATATTCCATATAATATCTAATAAATTATTATTATTTTTTAAATAATCATCGAAATTAATTATCTTCACTAAAATGTGACTTATTTTTTTCATAATAATCAAAATGAATGGTGGAAAAATTGTTTACCATTTTGTTTATACTTTAATTATATAAACGTTTGCTTCCCGTTTAATTGGTGAAGAAAGATGCAAATCTTATTCAATTTTCACCCAATAGATAACATGGCTCTACATATCTTCGCAAGAAGTAAGCTTGGGAGTCTCACTGGGATACACATAGACACCATACACACCAAAAAACAAAAACAAAAAAAAAAAAAAAAACAAAAAACTTATAGCTCTTGCTTGGTCTCCTTGTTAGCTTTGGCGTCCAACTTGGCATGTGGTTGTTCTTCTCCGACGGCAATGTTAACAACCTTGGGACCCATGATCCTATCCGGTGACAACTTGACAATTGACATAGTTAACACGCCATTCTCAAGCTTGGCCTGGACGGAGTCCAAGTCCACATTTTCCGGCAACCGGAACTGCCTCAAGAACTTACCATATAATCTCTCTACACGGTGCCACTTATCCCCTTCCACCTCCTCTTTCCTCTTCTTCTCTCCGCTGATACGCAGCACGCGGTTCTCGTCCACCTCGATCTTCAGCTCCTCCTTCTTAAGGCCCGGCACGTCCAGCATGATGAGGTGAGCCTCCGGAGTCTCCTTCCAGTCAACCCTCGCCGCGGCAACGGCCACACTTTCGTCCCGCTCCAACCGAAGAGGTATATGTTCCAGCATCCGGAACGGATCCGGGAAAGGATCCGACCACAGACCACCACACGGAGAGCGTTCCACGAAGGGAAGCACTGATGACCCATCAGATGGTTCGAGTAACAAGAAGAGCTGCAACAAGCAGATCAAAAGTACCACAGAAAATTTAGAACCCCTCATCTTAGAAAAATATAGAAGCAATGTGAGAGTTTTGAGTGTGTGTTTTGTGCAGTTTGTGTGTGTGTTTTTTTGTGAGGGAGTAAGAATGTGTTGAATTTATAAGAGGAGACGCACGTGGCTGGGAAAGGGTGTGAGTCTTGAAAGTTCTTGTCACAGTGATTTATTATTTTAGAGAGAGAGAAAGAGAGAGAGGCGAGAACGTTCTGGTTAAATCTTGGTGCATGTGGAAAAGATAAAATTACAAGAGAGTGCCAGGACATTCTAGAGGTCTCATGCCATACCCTTCTACTCATCCTAGAGGAAATTTTTGAATCCTAACTACGTTTAATGGCTTGTAGTTCCCACTAATAGTTATCATTAGAGCTTTAATTTCTTGGACTAAGTAGACAAAAACTGTACTCCTTTCATCTCGTGTTAAAAGTTCACTTTAAAAACTGTGACTCACAAAATTGTGAAGATATACCACTTATTTTGAACGCATCATAATACCATTTACTATAATTTTATACAAAAGTGACGGTTATATATTAAACATAGGGTAATAATGTTTTTGTATTATATAGACATTATCCAATGTAAAATTGGGCAATAAACCTTCACTTCGATAATGAGATTGATTGTAATTTTTTTTTTTTAAATAAAGGATATATATAATAATAGAAACTAAAATAATAATAATAATAATAATAAAAGTGGGATCTCTAATTGGCTTTGTAGCCAACCAGAGCGCTACTGTAGCACTCCTCGCTTACAAAACTTTTTGTTTTTTATTTTTTTTTTGGAGCGGGCCGAAAGGGAAGCCCACAACAACCATTACAAGGATTAAATCTCAGCCCAAAATAGTAGATCAAAGTGCGTGTGATGGCCTGAGCCCAACCAACGGTTAAAATTTGTCAATTTCATACAAAATAAAATAAAATAAAACTAAACTATTATAATTAGAAAAATAATTCTTACACAGAATAATTACAATAAATTGTTAGACTTACTATGGTGAAAAAAAAAAAAAAAATATTATTAGACTTACTCTTTTAATTGGTCAATTATACAACAAATAAAGAAGTAGAACCATCCACTTAATTGTATTTGGTGTATATAACTCATTAAAAATTATTCGAATAGATAATTTACTATATTTATTCCATATGAGTAGCACTACTTTTTACAACTATACATTATTAATGTCACAATTTCACATAATGACAATGTCAAGGTGGGTTTTGTCATATGTGACTTTATTGCAAGTTCATAATAGAAGCTAAGTGGCATTTTTACACCATAAATACTTAAAAAGATATGATAAACTCGACCAAAAAACTACAAATTTAGCAAAAGGCCTAGCAGACCGAATTACAGAGAAGATAATAAAATAACACACTGGAAACCAATATTAAAAATGCTCAACAAACAAAAATTTACAAAATGACAAACATGATCCAAGGATTAACAATGACTCTTTTTAGAAGTCATCACTTGCATAGATGACCCAGAAGTACATCCACTACTTACTCATGGTGGGTCTTGCATTTCTGTTTTCCTCCTCCACATTAAGCTCCATCTTATTCTTGCGATATTCACCATCCATGGTATTGTATGGTTTCTTCGATCCATGAAGCATTTCCTGAAGGTCCAATCATCAATGCAACCTCTGCTCAGACACACAAAGATCTGCCAGCCATTATTGGGTGGTAACTGGAGTACAGGAGTATGTTCTTAGGCTTCGCATCAAGTGTAAAAACCCACTCCAAGCACTCTTCATGTGAATAAAATAGCCAATTTGTAGTACCCAAAGCAATTTCAAAGGTGTGATTTGGGATTTGACAAGTACCGAATATCATAGACATGGAACTCAGCATGAGAGAGAGTTGGATGGAAACAACCTCATCATTGTGGCAAGCGAGATTAAATTCAGGTGTACAATCATAAGACCCCTACGTGATTTCTCCATATTCTACCTCACTATGCAATTGCATCTCCTACCACTATCAACAGCATAAGTACAAACCACTCCATAATGTTTTGTCAGCGTCAACAATCAATATTCTCTTAGACCATTTGCCCAAATCAGCAGAAGAGAACTCCAAAATCATAGGACGACTTGAAATTGTTGAAGGATATAATATAAGCACGTAAGCGCGTAAACAAGTAAATAGTTAAGCATGTTTTTTCACTTAGCAAAATACTGTTATAAATAAAGAATTAACAATGCAAATGACTTCTTAGACAACCCTAGGTAGACTTCTACCCGTCGTCCTAATGGTTTTCGAACCAAGGCTCTGATACAAAATTTTGCAACGACCCTTAAACTGATACCATTTATAAAAAAATTTCGACATGACCTCCGCTAAAAGGGGTCCTACGAAAATTTGCTTAAATGCATAAAAATGCAAATAATACATTCCAGCATCCCTTTCATCCATTCATTAGACCTCAACATAGTTCATTTCACGGTGGAGCATTCACATACCATTTAATTCAAATATCGTGATTATAGTCCCAACAATACATGGTTAAGATCTAAAATCCATGTCTTACAACGTTTAGACCACTTATAATAAAATTACAGCCCATAAATATAATTACAATAACAAGAGTTTACAAATCTCTATACCAAATATAACAAATTAAGATTTTACAAAAAAATATGGGACTTAAATACAAAACTAGCAAAATGATCTTCTAATCTAATTTAGGCCTGTGGTGGAACGTCAACCGCCACTTCTTTTCCGTTTCTTGAAAAAAATGTTAAATAAAAAGGGGTGAGCAAATTTGCTCAGTAGGTGGTGCCTAAGACACACCTCTTGTGTCCCTGTGAATCCAAATAAGAAATAGGACAATAAGAATCGGGGTCATACTATGTCGGGAAAGTACAACATTAAATCCAATCTCAGCATACACAATATGATGCTATGAAATGCAATGCATGCCGATGTCGCTCCCCATTTTCAACATTCAAATCCATCATTTTCAAACTGTTAATATAACCCGCCCTTTGGAGACCTCGCAACGACACGAGAGAAGGATTGGCTAGTGTCCCTGACCCTTGGTAGCCCTGCGGCGTCATTTTGGGCCCAACTAGCTCAACCACGCTAGGGTAATCTCCCTAATTCCCTCTAGGCTATATTAACACACCGGCCCTTTGATGACCTCGCAGCGACCGGGTTTTCTCAACACCATTTAAATCAAAACTTCTTCCTAAAATTTCCCTTTTTCATTTCAAATCACATTAATCCCATTTCATACCCAATGCTAGTGTATAGATGCATCATGCCATGTCCAAGTTCATCATTACATAACTAATTCAAACTTAATTAATATAATATGATTCACAAGAATTTTTCAAGTAAAACTATAACATGTTTTCATACAATCGAGATCTAGTATGATAGGTATATAAAAATCAATATTTAGGCAAGCTTTTCACATGGGTCAATTAATACACATAACTACACATCAACGTATATACAACAACCAAGTAATTTGCTAGATTTTACACAAATTAGTCATGCTAGACAACACTTCATAAAGGATTATGAACTTTATACATTACAACACAATTATTCTAGGATAATTATCATCAATTGGACAAATTAACAACAATTACATGAAATTAACTCACAAGGGAATAAGAAAATGTGAGTTAGAGACCTCTACCTCAATCTAAGCCAAAAGCCCCAATTTTTACCTCAAACCCTCAAAATGGGTCTCAATTTTTGGACTTCTTAGAGTGGCCAAAAGCTGAAATTGCTGGTATGGATTTGAAGATCTCGTCATGGGCTTCAATTTGCCGCAAACGGTACTTAAAAACACCAAGAAATGAGAGAGGAATCAAAAGTTGAAGTTGCAAAAGAAAAAGAAAAAAAGAAATACAGAGGCAGTGAGAGAGAGAAAAAAAACTGCCGAGAGAGAAAGCTGATTGAAAAAAAAATGGGTCTGTAATGACCCTTATATCACAGGTGGGTCCCACAGTAGAAAAAGTAATGTTTAATAATTATATATATATATATATATATATATATATATATAATTAACCATTACATTCTCCCCAACTTTAAAAGATTTTGTCTCCGAAATCAAGCCATACTTGAGGGAGAAAACAACTCTGGATACTTGGAGCGAACCTCCTGTTCGAGCTCCCAAGTAGCCTCTTCGCTTCCTTGGTGTCTCCAAAGAACTTTTACCAATGGTATCATCTTGTTCTTCAACACCTTCTGCTGTGTGTTAAGGATCTGAACTGGTCCCTCGTCGTAGGAAACATCTTTTTTAATGTCCATATCAACCCAAATCAAAATGTGAGATGGATCCGGCTCGTACTTCCGTAACATCGATACATGGAAAACATTGTGGACCCTGTCCAACTATGGTGGCAAAGCAAGTCTATAGGCAGCCTCTCCTACTCGGTCTAAGATTTCAAAACGTCCAATAAATCGTGGCGATAACTTACCACTCTTCCCGAACCTCAACAATCCTTTCCGTGGAAGAACCCGAAGAAAAACGTGGTCTCCCACCTCAAAGGATAATGACCATCTCCGTTTATCCGCATAACTCTTCTGTCGGCTCTAAGCTGTAATTAACCTCTGTCTGATCAGCTTAATCTTCTCAGTAGTCTCGAGTACTATGTCAGGTCCTAAGGCGGCTGTCTCGCCCAACTCAGTCACTGGAGACCTACAAGGTCTGCCGTACAACGCCTCAAATGGAGCCATCTTAATGCTCGCCTGATAATTGTTGTTGTAGGCAAACTCAATAAGCGGTAGATGATCTTCCCAACTACCACCCAAGTCAAGTACACATGCCCTAAACATATCCTCCAAAATCTGGATAGTACGCTCCGACTGGCCGTCCGTCTGTGGATGGAATGCCGTACTCAGGTGCAACACTGAGCTAAATGCTACTTGATGTCCTTCCCAGAACTTCGAAGTGAACTTGGCATCCCTATATGAGACAATGGTTACTAGAACTCCATACAACCTTACAATCTCCTTCACATAAAGTATACCAAACTTCTTTGCATCATCTATTGCCTTAATAGGCAAAAAGTGAGCTGTCTTGGTCAACCTATCAATGATGACCCATATGGCTTCATTGCCCCTCGGTGACCTTGGTAGACCTGTCACAAAATCGATAGCAATATGTTCCCATTTCCACTTTGCTACAGGTAATGGTTGCAATAAACCGGCTGGTCTCTGATGCTCAGCCTTCA